AGACTGTGGTGGCAAGAATAAAAAGAACAATGATGATATTCTTTTGATAAATTTAAGACTTTCAATTCACGATCTCAGTTATTATTTTCTACTCTTATTTAAGACTTGAGAGGATGATGCCATTTAGCTTTTTGTCTCATCTTTAAATAAAGAATAAATTGAGTAAAGTTAGAGAAGAAGCCACAGTGGAAATTTTAGGTCATGATTAATCCTTCCAAACAAGTCATATTTGGTGGTGGTGTAGGATGGCGGCGCACGCTTGCAGCAGCTCAGTGTCTTACGGATTGGTTCTACGTATGGATGATTTGATACATTTTAGGTTTTGCTTTGAGTAGTCGAGCGAACGGTATTAGTTAATTCATAACATTGCTTTGATCTATATATTAGTTTTTTCACCTCAGCCAAGTATAAAGTGATATTTGCAATGCTGTGTTAAAGTGGGATTTGACAGGTGGGGGGCTCCATTCACATGGCATAAACATAAGATCAGGTATAACAGTGTAGTGAGGGGAAATAATTAATTAGAAATAAGTCACATAAAATCATTAGTCACATAAAACGTGAATCTAATCAGCATCATAATTTAAATATATATTGATATCTGTTACTCTTGATGTAACCTAGCAACAGTATGACAGATGTAAGGAGTCACCAACTTCAAATCCTTCTAAATGTTATCATAATATATCAAACTAACAAGCTTAGGGGGCACTAAGCTGCCTGGCATTTTCGTAAATTCTTTGCAGAGCACAGAAGTGGTGTACTTCAATTTGTTTTGCAAAACTTTTTCACAAAAACATAATTCAGTAATGCATAATGTATAGCTCCAACATCTGGTTTGAAAACTCTAGTAAAATAGGGCGACACGTTTGAGAATTAAACTTCTGGTCTATAATGTCTCAGTTGCTGAGGAGTGCTTACCTGTGAAAATAATCTCTCATCTTCGATCTTTCCTCTCTTTCTTACATATTTCTCCATCTATCGTGTGTTGCACAGCTGAATCTTTAGCTCACAGAGACACTGTGTGAAGATCTTTGCAGAAACACTTTGTGTGTCTGCTGATATTTGTTAATCTGTTTGAAAAGTTGCATTTGAAATTACCTGCCACTTAAAAATAAAACAATGTTATTCCCCTTATACTCGCTCCTCGTCTGTAGCTAGCTAAATGCTAAAGTACAACTGGGAAGTTTACATTTGCACCATGAACGCATCACGGGAATGAGAAGGAAAAAGGACGTGTTGAAGATGTTAGTGGGCAATGTGACGTCATTATTTTCTTATTTCTGAGCAGGTATCTCCATGCCACCACTGGAAGCAATGCCAGGCTGCAGCCCATAAAAAAATTTAACTCATTCAACAATATTATGAATTAACCTGCTAATCAGATTTAATTATTCTTTTTTTAAAGCGTTTTTTAAATGTAATATCCATATTTATATTGGTAAATTGGCTGTGATGAACAGGATTTATACAGTGGCATATATTGTCTAGCTCAAAATTATTCTTTACGATTCCTGAAAAATATAATAGAGATAAGTTTGACAGACTTGAACAAGTGAAATAGGATGGATGGATATTTACTTTTGTCACTCTGTTGTCTCTAAACCCTTTCACTTTATTCACCATTTACCCTATGTTAGCTTTCACTTCCTCTCCAGTGTTACATAAAGTGCCACGTCTGCAGCGGACACATTCTTCTTTGCCGTGCACACCAAGTTCACTCCAACAAATAACTATGCCCTATGATGGCCATGAGCGAGGATGCTTCAGAGTTTGAGTGGAGAGGAGATAATTACTTTTCGGAGTTTATCCTGAAGGCCAAATGTTTCTGCTGTTAATGTTGCCTCTCGCCTGACCTTCAAGTGACCTGCAAAGTACACAACAGCTCAAAGCAGAGGCCGGGTTGGCTGGGAACCAATAACTGGAGAAAAGCAAATGCAGAATGAAGAACAAGATGAAAAACATGTGATACAGAGAAAATTGTTAACGGAGAAAAGCAAAAGCAAAACAGATTAAAAAACAGAAGAGAAAGAGATTAACAGGTTTGAAAACAGGATGAGTGTAGAGTGTTTGAAAACATGTATATCTGATATGTTGCACCTCCAGCAATGTTTACAACACTCATCTCCTTTAGGCAGATCACAGCAATGATATCTCACATGGAGCAACAGAAGTGACAAGGTCAGACCTGATAATGAGCTAATCAAAATCAAAAATCATACATGCAAGCAGCTGCACACACACACAAACATACACACACACACACACACACATACACATACACTCATGAACCTCGGATTCTTTCAGCTTTGATTGCAAAGGTGTCCTGATGTGACACATCACATCTCTGTTTCTTCTCACTTCTCTTTCTCGCTTTTAAAAATTTGAGTTGATTGCCTTTCTGATGAGTGCGCCCCTTATCGTCCTCCACCATCCAGCGCCTTTTCATTTCCTCTGCTTTTTATTGCTTCTGTTCTTCTTTCACAATTTGTGCAGTTTATCTTTTTAACTCTTCAACCACCAAGCTCAGCATCAACAGATTCCTCATAAAAATCATACAATTCATTACAATAATTTCACTTTTGTCAGAACCCCCCCCCCAAGTGATTGCTTTACAAAAACACCAAGACTGTCTAAGAAGAAGAGATACACTCTCAAACACTTTCACACACTTAGGTGGGGCGAGGGATGGAAATCGGGCCAAGAGAAACTGGAGATGTGGATATGAGCGCCGAGAGAAAGAGGCAGTGAAAAAGAAAAGACATGGATCCGCCTCACCTGTAGCACCTTTAGCTTCAGTGCAGTATATAGACTAGCAGACCCAGCCCCTACAACCCTTTATAGCCATCTGCACACTTCCTCCACCCGCTCCTTCACATCTTTAATTTCACAGTATTGTTGAGGTGGCTATAGCACCCTGTTGTATTGTCTTTTAAACAGCCCCAGTATAATGAGGTTGTTTTGTCATCTGCAAAGGAGACATTTTATTTGGACAGAAAGCACTGAAGGCATTTTCAGCTGCTACAACTCAATGAGCCAGAAGACAATGTGTGTTCCGTAAACACTTTAACCCTGCAGTATTAGTCTGTCACATGTATAGTGCAGGCAGACCTGCAAAAACACACAGTCATGCACTCACATGCATTGCTGAGGCGTTGACTTTTGAACAGTAATAGGCTGCAAGAAGATTTATTACACTGATATAATGTGATAAGTTATGTAAGTATTTAAAAGATCATAACAGTAATATAACTTAAAAACAAATGTTAGCAATATTTAATATTCTTCTAAGATGTTTTTTAAACTGGAATTTGTAATAGAAAGGTCTTCTAAAGGCATTTTAACTTCTCATACAGTATTTCTGGAGGCCTTTTGTAACTTTGGAAGGAAAATATTGTTGAATCATTGAAATAATTGAAAATGATTCTTGTTGGTGGCAGATACAGCAGATTCATGCTTCTTCATGCAGTGTTCATTGCTGATTAATTAATTGACAGACGGTATCATCATGATCCTGGGACTTTGACCCACTATTCTGAGTTTTGGATAGAAGGTATAAGATCATTTATGTTATAGTTTCTGATGTTATTTTCTAGTGCCTCTGAGTTTGTCATTTATATAGTTACTCATTTCCCGTTTGTTTATGTTTGTCCCCCTTTCGGTGTCCTATCATCATTGTCCATGTGTTTATTTACCTCCTTTATCCCCAGTCATGTCTGTCTGGTGTCTCTTTGTTCAGCCTCCATGAATACATTTGTAGTCCCATTTGTAGTCCTGTCCCTGTGTTTTCTCCCTTCCTGGTCCCATGTTCATCTCTCTGTGTTTCTTTGTCTCCTCAGTCTGTCATGTCTAGATGTCTGTTTAGAGCCAGTCTCAGTGTCAAGTTCACATGTCCTAGTCTGAGTTTCAGCGTGTGTTAGCTACAAGTCCAGATCTTCACTCATCAACACAACAAGATAGTAGCTGCTTACTTGAGGCTTTATGGGACTTCGCAAACCAATAGGCAATATCTACAGTAGCTCATCCATCTTTTATACCATCTATGGACATTCCTGACTGCGTTGTCCAAAAAAACAGTCAAAGTAGCTCTTCCTGCATAGTAAAAAGGATGCAAAGCAACAAAATCAATGCAGTACTCTACATATGAGGGTTTTTTTATACAGTCATGTGACAAAAAAAACTTTAACTTCCTATTTATTCCTTGGAATAAATAGGAAGTTAAAGTTTTCTGCATTACTTTATCGGACGCTGCTGTTGTTGTGGAGAAAGTTTCAGAAAGTTGCTTAGCTTCAGGGGCTTTCATTTATGTCATGACCTCTTAAGGTCTTGCCACAGCATTTAATCAGATTGATGTTTAGCCTTTGGACTGGACCAGTGCAACACCTTCACTCTTCATTGTGTGTTCATTTTGCTGTTACATCACACACCTTTGGCCAACCTTTATCTCTTGAACCGATGGCCTCACATTTGACTCTAGAACACTTTGGTATACAGAGGAGCTCATGGTCATTTCAATGACTGCAAGGTGCTCAGGTCCTGGGCAAAACAAGCCTAAATTCTCACACTCCACCACTGCCATTTGGTTTAAAGTGTTTGTGTTGATGTGTTGTTTTTGGTTTTCACCAAATACAACACTGCATTATTTCTGTTTGCTCTGTCGTTCTTTCAGATACAATTTTTCAAACCTAAAACATGCTGCCATGTTTTGTTGTTTATTTTGGTTTTTAGAGAGAAGAGGCTTTCTCCAGGCAACCCCTCAAAAAAAAGCAACACTTATTCAAGTCTGAGGTTTGCAGTCTAAGATGTAGTTCTTGATTTTTTGCAGTTTCTCTGAACATTGCACAGTCTGACCTTGGCATAAATCTGCTGGGAGCATAGTGTTAGAAAGCCCACTGTTTGCACGTTGTTTGCTTGGTTGAAGTGTTGTGGTTTGTTTATAGATAGTGTTTTCGCTGTGGAAATTGATATGTCCTACGGTATTGATCTCACCATATCTATGCTGACGCTCCTTGAATGCACCACACTGTACCATGTGCTGCTAGTCTGCCTTTGTAGCTGCTAATAGCCAGCATTTTTCCTTGTGTCCTCTCACCAGCATCTCGTAGTTTTTGGTTTACTGCTGTGTGTGAATGCCAGAAGGTGAGTTCTGTTTACATGATGTTGAGTATGTCAGCTGCTATTGTGTGTATTTGTTACCTCGTGACTATGCTAATGTTATTCTATGCTAATACGCTATGTAAGCTACTAAGTTAGTTAATGCTAATTATAAATCTTGTGTAATTGTTAAAGTTGTTATAGACGTGAGTGTTGAATACAGTTCCTTGTGCTATCTCTGTGCTAGAATTATGTCTGGGCATGTTGAATGTTTTATGTGTGCTGTGCTCAGTGTTGGGGAGTAACGCAATACATGTACCGCCGTTACGTATTTAAAATACAAAATATGAGTAACTGTATTCCGTTACAGGTACCGTTTAAAAAGGTGGTATTTAGAATACAGTTACTTTGTTGAAATAAATGGATTACACGCGGTACTTTCCTGTTTCATATTGTCGCGGGTCAGGACTGTTTGGGTTTTGTTTGACAGCTACGTTCTGTTGTTCCAGGTGGCAGCGTTACGGTTGCCATGGTTACAGGGTGACGCTCTCTTTGCATGTTTCCTGGGTGAGAGAGGCCTTTTTGTTGTTGTTGTGCTAAGCTAATAGGCAGAATGCTACAGGTATAGCTCTAAAGAATGTAGCATCATAGGCAGTGTAGTCCGTGCTGCAGGGAGAATGGACTGCCATAAACGTTATGTGTCTGTGAGCGAGGGAGGGAGAAAAAGGAAAAGTACGAGCTGTCATCGAGCAAAAACGGGAGCTGGAAGCATGAAAATATAATAATAACCGCTGCAGCCAAGAAGAGTGCCTGAGAGCCCAGTTGTAAGTAAGCTATTAAGACTCGACTGTACACCGTGTTCGTGTTTTCCTCCAAAAATAATAAGTTCCGTTGGAGCAGCCTTTCAGCGCCTCTCTCTGTCTCTCGCTAGCAAGGTTGACCCAGACAACAAAGTATAGCTAGTTTTCGGCTACGAGCCCGACACAGAACCCACCGTATTAGCCAGAGGTCCCTTTACTACGTTCGGAGTCGGGGACCTTCAGTAACAATAATAAATCACAGCAATAGTACATTCATGTAGTTGTAAACAGCATGATAATATATTAAGTAATCCAAAGTATTCAGAATACGTTACTCTCATTGAGTAACGTAACGGAATAAGTTACAGAATACATTTTGGGGCATATATTCTGTATTCTGTAATGGAATATATTTTAAAAGTAACCTTCCCAACACTGGCTGTACTGATAGTTGCGTTATGTATCGTTACTACAGACCACAGCTGAATAAATCTCCTAAACTTGGAAGCTGCCTCCGTGTTCTTTAACTGGAACACACCCACCATACCTTGCCACTCTAAATCAGCTAAACTCCTGGAGACAACATTCTCTCCATTTTACATAGTGTTAACACACACCTGAATGCCTCAGACCTGCAAATTGCCAAAAGGTCTATTTTTATAGAGGTCCTCTCACTTATTGATGATCAGTTAACTCAGTTAACTCACTTTTCTAATTCATGTACTACTTGTACAGGTATGCAAAAAGTTTTTTTTTCAACTTTATTTGCATGTAACCCTTCATCATGACCAATAAAATTTCAATTAGTAAAGGTTTTTTGCAAATATAGATTTTAATTGTGCAACAAAAAGGTCTCCATCTTGCTTCGGTTGTGTATTAAGTCTTATTCAGCTAATTTAGCATGCCTGTGGTGAGTGTTGGATCTCCTTTAATGTGTCAAAAAAACACCAACCTTTCAGCTTTAATTTCACTAAAGGAAGACAGCAAAGTTGCAGTGAGTTGCAAATACCATGAGCTGGGTAGATCCTGAGAAAAGACTGAAAAAACACTTCAGGATGTTACAATAGAACTCTGTGTTGACAATCTGGCCCCGGGGGATGCATTCACAAATCACAAACCTTTGAACATCCCATGACCTGATGCACACCTACTTGCTTGGACACTGTGGATGCTTGCACCAAGAAACTCCTGTTTGGTGTCATCAAAGCCAGAAACCTAAGACACCTAAATTGATGTTTAAGCTCTCCACAAACTTTGGATCCATGATCAAATCACAGACAGTGTGTGCAAGAGGTTAGAGTGATTAAAAACACTAGCAGCAAGTCCTTGGTTTTGCTCACAGGTTAAGAAGGTGACTATAAGCCACGTGGTTAAAGGCAGCAGTCTGGGCTCAACTCAGCAATGTTATTGTGTCTCACTGCTTTCCTGTCTTCCATTCACTGCACTATTTAATAAAGCAAAAAGCTCTCAATATTAGCAACAGCAATAAGAAAAATAAGGGCAAAAAAATATGCTCATCACATTTAAATTAGGCCGGGCTTTCAGTTTAAAATTGCTCTCAAATGAATTCATGCATTTGGAGTGTGAATCGTATGTGGAAAACACTTTTAGGTGGTTGGAAGAAAAGTGCTTGTATGAACCGGGAGGAATGAGGCTTGATGTATAAAGTGCTTTGAATGCACAAGCAGAGTAAAAAGTGCTATGTAACGACCAGTCCATCCTTTATGGTGAAAAGAAGCACAGCAGGGAAGGAGAAAGGCAATGTGTAAGAGAGTAGAAAATGTTTTGAAGGGTAAAAAAGTATTAGCTGCCAAAAGTGGACAGACTGCAAAAAGCAGCATTTCAAAGAAAATGAATGTAGGTTTATCTGCAGTCACTTGGCAGAGACTTGGCATTGAATTTATCTCAAAAACTTTTGGTAAAATAGATGATTTTATTTGCAAAATTCTGGTAAATATGTCTGCAAAATAAGTAAGAAATTTCCCATTTCTTCCTCAGTCAGTAAAGTTCTCATTGAACTAGACTTCCTTTTTCCCATTCTTCTCCATTCAACTCCTTCTAAGGTCTTGTTCTCCTGATCTGCAGATGAGCGAGTCAGATAGCCTCCATCCGTGCTGTGTCACCACACCACAAGCAGAGAGGGGGGGGGGGGGCTGGTTTTAGCACAATGTGTTTTCTGTGCCACTGTGAAGGTCCTGGAGTCAGTGTAGGCACAAGCCCAGTCACTTACATCAG